ATCACCATCGGTCGATGGTTGTTCCCTTAATTTTTGCAATCAAGTACCACCATGTAAGTAACGATAAAAGTTTTTTTTTACAGATGGGTCAACCATAAATGCTTCCACTGGATTTGGTGTATTTTATCAATTTCATAGCGTCTCCTATAAACTGCAAAAATCATGTGTCAGCAGGTGTCACATGATCATTCACAATCACAGTTTCGAACAAACCATGGTTCAAAGGGTTGGATGAGCCGTGACTTTATACACATTATGTCAAGACTTATGCCCAATCACTGTTCGTTAGACTCGCACTTCTATCGAATTGGGCTCTCAGGCAGTAATTTATGTGCAGTGTGGCAGTGGTTATCATGATATCGAGCATGTTGTTTGGTCATGTACCCTACACCGTGTTGTCAGATCCGAGTTATCCACATCTCTCAGGGCCCGAGGAAAACAACCCGCGATACCCGTTAGAGGTATCTTGGCGAGCCGAGATTTCGTCTATTTGAATTTAATTTATGTGTTTTTAAAACAGATAGATCTGAGGATTTAGTAGTTAGTGTCATCTTGTGTTCTCCCAAGTTGTTAGCTGCCCATCGGTGTACCCCCATGTTTGTCTTTTTCATCAGTATGTCGCTTAGTTCGATATCAAGAGCACATTGCTCTCCAAACCTCGTGTACAATCCCTACCCTGCCATCCATTTTTTACAATTTGTTACCCCTAACCTCGAGATAGCCGCGAATAATCGGCCCCCGCGTTACTAACGTTAGTTTTAAGTAATTTTGTAATCTAAACAATGAATATCGGCTCGGCAAAGTTACAGCAAATGAGCCTGGAAAAATAAACGCATTATTTAAAAAAAATCTTTCGAGTAGAGAACGTCCAGTGGAATCAGAAACAATAAATCAAGGATACATTTTCAAATACACGTATCTGGTTTTGTAACCAGTCGAAACTGATCTTTCAAATGTTCGTTATTTTATAAATTGCTGTTATGGTTCGAGTGACACTTGCCTTTGATAAAAAAAACACGTCTACTGAGGATTCATATTTATGAAAAATCATATATCAATGAAACAGTCATCGGTCGTCATTGAAAAGCAATGCAACTATATTCTGTCAATCTAATTGACTTTAATTGGTTCTGTTGTCTTGTGAATTTTAGCTAAAACGGCCTCTTTTCTGATTTTTATCTCTCAATCTATGAAATATACACGAAAACTATGTTGTAACGAAACTTCTAGAACAATATGAGGAACATTATGCCGTACACTACACATTTTTATATCATATGGGTGGAAAATTCGTAGAACAAATACTTTAAAATTCTTCACTTTTTAAGATATCTTCGAGCATGAAACTAACTCAAACTTCAATAAAATCACTTCGAATAGTCAACCTTTGGTTACAAAGTTGATACATAACACATTAAACTTTGTTATGAAAGTTGTTACAGCAGCTTTCGTTGTTTCAGTCTCGAGATACAAATATTGTAAGCCGTAAATTACATTAAAAACATAAAATTAACTTGAAGCACCTCTAAATCATCACCGATTTTGCTGAAAATTTGCACAGAAGTTCAAATTAACATGACGAACAGTAATCACGGTTGACCCGTTACATTCCGAACATTTCGTTTAAAATGAACAGGTCTATTATGTATGTATAGTATAAATTCGGAGTAATTAGTGAACATAACAAAACACCCTTAAATTATGAGATTCTATTTAATAATACCGGTCTAGATTTGATGAAATATTATTTTAAAAAAATTAATGCATTTTCATTTGAAATGCAAGTTTTTTTTTGAAAATTAACCAGATTACGTCTCTGTCGTACGTGCTGTCCTAAATGTTGTAGTAATTTGGCTCTAGTTTTCTCAATTTTTGACCGATTCAAACCAAACACCCTGCACATAATCGAGAAATTACCAGAGTTTCAACACAATTGTTGGTCCCGTCGCGGTTCTGTATTTACACGGATATTCCTTGGGGTCTGTCCAATGGTGAGACTTTTTCATGATATTTCTTTTCTAATATGAACCTACCTCTTTTCGCTGTCAAATCATAACCGAATCGTGTATATGTGACTTTGTGGATCATGCGCGACTTATTACTATGTATACCGGAAATTATAGGTTTTACAAATCGTTCAGGACATCAGTTGATTTGTTCTAATAGATCAACCAAGACTGCAATAATGTCTTTAGTATTGAAATATTTCCAGACAACGCACAGTCTATGTGGATCATGCATGATCTATTTCCGAGTAATCCAGATGTTCAAAATTCTTCAATTCGTCCTGGAGTTCAGTTAGTTTGATCTACTAGATCAACCGAGATTGGGGCAATGTCTTTAGTATCGAAATATTTCCAGACAGATGCACAGTGTCTATGTGGATCATGCATGAACTATTGTCTTGTATACCAGATGTTTTAAGTACTCCAAATCGTTCTGAGCCTCATAGCCTAGTCAGTAAAGGAACGGTATTACTAAGCCGGAGGCGGCGGGTTCGATTCCCAGTCCGGTCGAGGGAATCTTTCTGGCTGGAAATTTTCTCAACTTCCCTGGGCATAGAGTATCATTGTGCTTGCCTTGCACACAATATACAAATTCATGCATTGGTATTGGCATCGAAAGCTCTCAATTAATAACTTTGGGAATGTATTTAGAACACTAAGTTGAGAGCACGCAATAAGTTAATATGCACTAATCAATAAGCTTGAAATGCTAATAAGAAGAAGAAGAAATCGTTCTGGAGTTCAGATCATTTATTCTACTAGATCAACCATGACTGGGATGAAGTCTGTAGTATCAAAATATGTCCACAGATTCATAGTGTCTATATGGATAATGTTTCAGGAAAATTACGTATCAGTTAATAATATCACTGTTAAAGAAATTTTTATGACTCTTGAAAGTCTCGATGCCGGCAAAGGACCTGGTCCTGATGAAAAAAATAGCAACTAGTTTTGTTAAACCATTGTTTTGGCTTTACAATTTATCTCTCAAAACAGGTGATTTTCCAAAAATTTGGAAGAAATCATTTTTAGTCCCAATATTAAATCTGGCAAACGGTCATACATTAAAAACTATAGAGGTATTGCAATTATGTTATGCATTCCTAAAATGTTTGAAGCAATTGTTAACCAGAAAATATTTAACCAGGTTAAGCATCGCATTTCAAATAATCAACATGGTTTTTTTTAAAGGTCGGTCAACGTCTACTAATCTGTTGGAATTTGTAAACTTTTCTATTGAAGCAATGGATAGAGTTAATACTGTTTCATATACACTGACTTAAGTAAGGCCTTTGACAGAGTAGACATTCCCTTACTTCTTTTTAAATTAAAACGTTTAGGTATGACAAGTACACTTTTAAAATGGATTGGATCATACTTGACAGAAAGAATACAGATGGTCCACTTTAAAGGAAAAATGTCCTCGCCAGTTCCACAGGGATCTCATTTAGGTCCTTTATTATTTATTTTATTTGTGGATGATGTGAAGTTTGTGTTGAATCGTTTAAATCTGCTCATATATGCTGACGTTATGAAACTGTACATGGAAATCTTTAACAATAATGATTTGCTACATTTTAAAAATGAAATTAATGTTTTCTATAATTTTCATGATTTCCTTTGTTAATGATATTATCTCACAACGCGTTAATTCAGAAAAATATTAGCAAGATTAAATTTTTACGTACCATCACGCATGTTAAGAACTCGAAATGTATTTCAACTGTCATCTCACAGAACGAATTATAGTAAAAATGGACCAATTAAAAGAATGATGAGAGTGTATAATAATTATTGTGAGCATATAGATCTAACGATGTCTAATGATACAGTAAGGAGAACACTAACTGCTAGGATTTCATCTCGTTAAGTTTAAAACAATTTTTTTTTTTTAGATATTTGTATATGCAGTCTACATTTACTGACAATTTCAAATAAAACGTATGTAGCATGTAAGGAAACAGCACTATTAAAAAAAGGTCTACACTGATTGACGACAAATAAATAATTATATATAATATATAATATATAAATAATACCAGATGATCTAGGTTCTCCAAATCGTCCTGCAGTTCAGATGATTTGTTTTACTAGATCAACAAAGACTAGGATAATATCTGTAGTATCGAAATATCGATTTGGAAATCCTAGAACAATTGGCATACGCGAAAATAGGTTGGCATGATCCACATAGACACTGCAAATTTGTTTGGGCATATTTCGATACTACAGATATTGAATTAGTCTTGGGTGATCTAGTAGAAAAATAATGTATACGTAGCAATAGGTCGGGTACAATCCACATAGACACTTTGAATCTGTTTGGACATATTTCGATACTACAGACATTATTGGAGTCTTGATAGAACAAATCAACTGAACTCAAGGACGATTTCGAGAACCTAGAATATCCGGTATACATGGCAATTACTCGCATATATACGATTCGTTTGTGATTTGACAACGAAAAATGCTATGTTCATATTGGAAAAAAAGGAAAATGTCTCACATTGAACAGACCTCAGGGAATTTCCGTGTAAATCCGGTGTGACTTATGGAATTGAGATCATTTTTCGATTATTTGCAGGGTGTTTGGTTTGAACCGGTAAAAAATTGAGAGCCAAATGAACAACATAATTGATGACAGCAAAATAATCCGGGACGGAAAGGTTACAATGAATTCCACAATTTTTGTGACAGCACATCAGTCCCTTCGCGATTTTCGCAACATCATTTAATGTTTCCGCGATTTTCGCGACTGAAAGTTCAAATTCGCGAAATCCGCGCCTGTTGTAACAACCCTGGAGATCGGATTCGCAAATCAATTTTCCACATGCTAAATTTGTATTATGTTGCTGCTTTGGTAGCTAAAACCGAAAAGTCAAGTTAATAATTAATTATTCCGTCTTGAACAGCATACCCCTGATTCTATCGCATGCAGCGTTTGGTTCAAAGCGAAGATAAACATTCGATTTAATTTTTTTGAATAATTACCTTGTTCTACTTTTTTCCCATTAACATCGCGACACTCTCCAGGCAGAGAAACAACATTTCCATATGCTCCTTTGTCAAAAGCAAAAAAAAAACTGAATTAGAAGTACATTACTATTTTGATTCCAAAATTTACCTTCTGCAATCCTAATAAGCCATACAATCCATATACATAGAACAAACAAAAAATTTAAAATTCGGTTTCCCATGAATTGTTTCTCTATCAGACACATTTTATAAGCGAAATTTTGGTACAAATAATTCGAAGCTAATATAATAGGAAAAACTTCACTCCTTAGTAATTAATAGTGAGAGGAAAAGCGCATACGCTTGCGCGTCAAGAGCTAAGAGAAGAGGTGACAATAGATCAGTGCACGGTCCCTAACCTCACTTTTTGCTCCCTATCATTTTGCTTCTGAGTAAAAGAGATAGCAACGAATGGGAGCCAAAACAAACCACCCAAAACTGTCAAAACTTACGGGTGAGAGAAGAGTGCGGCAAATCTTCGTGAACTGATCAATACGGGGGCGAAAATGAACCACTTTTCTGTCAAACGTGAACCAGCTCCTGATTGGCCGATTTCATGTGCTTAAGATAGAGATAGAGACAGATAAAGATAGAGATAGAGATAGAAATAAAAGAGGAAGAAGCCAATTGTCACCTCTTCCTCTTAGGTCAAGAGTGCAATATTAGCGTAGACGGCATTACTACAACTCTTTACTCCAATAGGAAAATCCCATAAACAACTGTCATTCTGTGCGTGAAACCGTGAAACATAACGGCCAATTATTTATCCCTGCACAGAGAAAAAATACTACCCAAAATTTGAGTTCTTTTTACTTAATATTGACTTCAGCCTCTCACTTGCACTCGTTATTGTTGTCAAAAAAGGAACAAGAGATTCGACCCAACTATATTGGCGTCTTGCAGTGAAACTTTTCCAAGCTTTCGCCACCTACATTTCGAAGTGAGAACTACTAGAAGGAGGATAGTTTCCAAATTTTCCAAGTAAAACAGACGCTTTTTGGGGCAAATCGGTCCATTAAGAAAAACTAATAATTTCCCGTGGAAACTTTTGCTTGAATCGTGTAAGAAAACGTGTTTGAAAACTATTTGTTATTATTTCGGTATGGATCGGAGATGTTTTCATGGCAAATTATGCATAACAAGTTTGCACCCACAGGGAGAGGTTACCTCCTGCGCAGCTGCATTTTTCAGAAAATGGTAAATATGTGAGATTTACACTAAGATGAAAGTGGAAATTAAGTTCATTTACTTATGAAAGGTTGTATCATGCTGGTGGTAATGGAGAATTGGTTGTATAGGACGCCAATATTAAATAAATGTTCATTTTGGCCTTTTCTAAGAAAACATATTGATACTCACAATTTTCGACGGAAAACGCAACGGAACTTGCTTTACTCAACACGCACCATACTATAAAATGGTGCTAGATGGTCTTCAAAGTGATAACAAGAATACAAATCATCTTTATTTTGAGTAATTGAGCAATTTACTACTGTTTACATCATATTTACAATGCAGCATTGATGGAGCCGCGAAATGAAATGAATATATCTAATGAAAGTTCAACTGGAAAAGTCAAAGATGCATATCAGTCTGATCGTGAAAACGTTTTCTTCTTCAATTCGAATGTTATATTGGAAGGATTTTACACAGGCTTGATGAAAATTATTAGCGAATTCGTTTATTATCGGGGTTGGAACCAGTTCCAACCCAGTGCGAAACCGAACTATTTGTCAGTGCGAACCTCAACCTGAGCTATGTTTTAAAAACAAACGAGCAAACTGACGTTTGTCAGAAAACAAGCAGACCCAATCTTGATACCCGATCCAGGTTGGAACTGAATAATAAACGAATTCGCTATATGATTTAACGCTAATTTTCACGAATTTTATATGCAGTCTGTCAACATTATCATCATCATGCAGTGGCGACATCTGCGTTGAGATTTTACACATGATCCAACGTTACGTCACACTATATTATGCACATCGTGATAATGAAAGACCTGACTTGTTTCCTTCTGCCTCACCAATCACTTTGATCACAGCAATTGCGATTCTCCGTCGGTTCGTTTTGCTGCGCGAGTGAAAGTTTTGAACGTCGGAGGTTCTTTTCTACTAACTACCGCTGCTACCTAAAGACAACTTTATTAAATCAATAATTCCATAGAACCTAGCACTCGCGAAAAGTGTCCACTATGCAAGTCCGGAGTCCAATCGATCGCCCGATTGCGGAATGCTGATGAAGCTCGCTGCTGTTGCCGTTCTGTGCATCCGTCCTAGATGCTGGCGAAAGCACCGACGATGGAATTTGCCAAGTGCGGTTGGCACCGGCGTTAACTCGCCCCTCCTTAGTGATGAACCTCCAGGGGCATCGTATATCCAAATGAAGATGTACTTAGGTTTCCAACGTTTTTTCCAGGTTCCGATTTTCCACGATGATCGTTGGTGTTTGGCATCGTCTCTAGTTTGATATTTGTTGTTCTGCGGGAGAAAATGCTGAGGAAAATAATGATACCGTTCATGGGGAGGATGGTTATCCCTCCAAAAAGGGACCAGTGTGGGAAATGCAGACTGGAATTTTTTAACGGAGTAAGTCCAAATCTTTCCGTGTTTCTGTTTGCAGTTTGTGGAGATGTTCTATACTAAGGTTCAATATATGACTGTCCTTGGAAATAGCTATTCCGTCCAGATGAAGATGGACCGGATTTCCAGCAGTGGTTCGAGTTCTGCCGGCATACGAAATGTTGATTCGTATGGTGCAATTCTCGTATCGAATCAGATATGATCCAGTGAGAATTCTTTCATTGGTGCTGCAATCTGATGATAGGGTGAAATTGCTCATTGAATTCACCAGTAAATAATACTTATCGATGGGAACAATCTCCTGCTGTATGGAATTTGATGAATAGTTGCAAATGGCTGGTTTCGTATCTATTAGGTTTGGTATACATGTAGACTCGGTTACTTCAATGTCCTCAATTCGATAAATGATGGGTTCTAGGTTCTTGACGATAAATTTCTGTGTCGGATGGATCAGGAAAGATCTCTCTGTGGTGTGGATTTGTTGTTGGTTGTGGAATGTTGGGAAAACATAGATTCTACGAAAAATTCTGGGGTCTAACTTCGGCATCTTGATGAATAATACGATCTCCTTGCGGTTGGTGGCGATTGCTGTCTTGGCATAGGTTACGACTTCGGAATTTGAGTGAACTGTAATATTTTCTTTCTCTAAATCTCTCCTAAACATTTCAATTTCATTTTTTGATAGAATTTTTTTCATTTAATAATTCTACTTTTGCTAAGGCTATAGTATCAATAATGTTTATTTTATCATTTTATTCCTTAAGGTTGAAAAGAATATTTCCGAAGTTTTTGAATTGAACAGTTGAATAGCATCTTTTGTTTTAAATACTGTCTCTTTTAACTGTAATGCCATTTCTCGGTTAATCTTTACTTGTATATTGTTATTTGCTACGAGATTGTTAATGGTTCAATAGATTAACTTTAAATCATCTGCGTCGGGGGATCCGGCTATAAATTTCCAAACTTTTCCTACTGCGTCCCAACGTTTCTGTCTCTTGGTTTGTAAAATAGTTCCTAGTGAGAGGTTTATGTCGTCAAATTTTTGGACTATCATATCTGTAAACTGCGTTTTTCCTACTTTATCAAATTTATCTCTCAAATCGGTTACATGGTGGTTCAAGATTTCTATGTTAAAATTATGTAGGTAATAATAGGAATGAATCTGAATTCTGCTAACACCTTTCTTTTGTATTTGTAGCGTCCATGTTTGTCTCAATAGTATTGGAAGTATAAAGATTGTCAACATCTTCCGTTGAACTTTTGAGGAAGATTTTGGGATGGTCTTCGCTGGGAACTTCTGCCTGTGGAGAGAAACCAGGCAGTCACTTCGGGGTTGTCCTGTTTGCTGCGATGCTACTAGGGGCCCTGATGACGATCGAGCCGGATGGCTACGGTGTCCTGATTTCTGCTTTGGTTGCTACGGTGGGGCTGGTGGTACCCGTTTGTGATATGTGCTTGGCTCCTTGGACCAATCGCTGGAATCTGTGATATTCCACTTTTGAGGATGTTTCGCACTAGCACTGAGTTTACGATTTTGAACGCGGAACTTATACGATTTCCACTTCGGCAGGTCCCTATTCAGGCGCCAGTTAAAGTTTTGAACGTCGGAGGTTCTTTTTAAAAAAGATCTACTCACTACTGATGCTACCTAAAGACTACTTTATTCAATCAATAATTCCTACAGAGAACCTAGCACTCGCGAAAAGTGTCCACTATGCAAGTCCGGAGTCCAATCGATCGCCCGATTGCGGAATGCTGATGAAGCTCGCTGCTGTTGCCGTTCTGTGCATCCATCCTAGATGCTGACGAAAGCACCGACGATGGAATTTGCCAAGTGCGGTTGGCACCGGCGTTAACTCGCGCACGTTTTCTGCGTTCCTTCAGATGTCGTGCACCATTGTACCTTACAATGTTACATCCGTTCATGTAATGTTGTTCGCAAAATCGGTGTATATCACAAAGCGTAATATTACACAGCCTGCGGAATGTCCCAGTCCCAGTCGCTGCAGCCGGATTATCTGAGCCATAAAATCCTCATCACGCCTTCTTTCGGAAGGGAAGTGAAGCCGTTTCCGGTTCATGAGTTGATGAGTCGATAGGTAGGGTCCAGGTATGAGAGCTAGCTCGCTGGCGTTGGTAGCATTGGTACTCAGCATGGAAAACCAGATCGACGGAAAACAAATCAAAGGAAGAAAGAAAAAAAGAAATGAGATTAACAGAACTATATCTGTACAAGTTCGGAATAAGTTTCATATTTTTGAATTTTCTGCAGAGTTTTAAACTTTTATCGAACAGTCCGCAATTAAAAAACCCAGTAAAAACATTACTGACTGGATTAGTGTGTATATGTTATGTGCAACTTATCTGTTGTAATATTCAACGAATTGGTTCGGTATTGGTGCACAATCGCATAAATTGTTTCGTCCACGTCTTTGGAGTCGTCAGCAACATCTTGAAGCGCTGCCAATAGTTTTACGAATTTAATATCAATTGCAGCCGAGCAGACTCCGGCATCCTTAAGGCAGAAGAAGAAGTGGGATATTCCCGCCGTACAACGTACCATCGTTACATGGTTTAGATCGCCACGGGCTCTAACCCATCCGGAAGCAACTTCTAAACTAATGTAAACTGTCGTAAGGATGCAAATAAATAAGAGTTTATAAGAGTTTCTGCAATCGGTTGTGTTGGTGCTTATTTATTGGTTGAAATGTTA